TGCTCCTATGATGCTGCTTGGCCTGCTGTGTTCATCCAGCCCTGCACCTTGTTGTCTCGGATTCTCCAGCATCTGCAGTTCCTACTATCTCTAATTACTTATTGTACCTGAATACTAATGTTTTGTGATTCATGCATGAGGAGACCTAGATCTCTCTGCATCTCAGAGCTCTACAATCTCCCAACATTTAGATAACATGCTTCTTTTTTATTTTTCCTAACAAAATGGACAATTTCACATTTTCACACAATACGCTTTATTTTCCAGATCTTTGCCCACTCACTCACCGATCTATACACTTTTGTAGCCACCATGTGTCCTCTTCACAGCTTCCCTTCCTACTTACTTTTGTGTCATCAGCAAATTTGACAAACATGCCTTCTGTCCCTTTATTCAAGTGTTTTATTCAAATTGTAAACAGTTAAGATTCTGTACTGATGCCTGTAGTATACCACTTATTACGTCCATGCCAACATGAAAAAAGACTAATTTATGTCTACTCTCTGCTGCTTGCTAGCCAGCTAATCTTCTACCCATGCCAAAATGATATACCTGACACCATAAACTTTCATTTGCCACAATAACCTTTGATGGGGCATCTTATCAAATGTCCTTTGGAAATCTTAGTACATCCATCTGTTCCCCTTTAACCACAACACATGTTACCTCCTCAAAGAACTTCAACAGACTGGTCAAACATGATGCTCTCTCACAAACCATGTTGACTCTGCCTGATTATCATGCAGTTATTCAAGTGCCTTGCTATAACTTCTTTAATAATAGCTTCTAACAGTTTCCCTGTGACAGATGTTGAGTTAACTCGTCTGTAATTTAGTATGGAGCTGGAGCAACACAGCAGACCAGGCAACATCAGAGGAGTAGGAAAGTTGACGTTTCAGGTCAGGATCCTTCTTCAGAAATGGGTCATGGGTCAGAAAAGCTATTTGTAAAGAAGGTTCCTGCCAGAAACATCAACTTTCCTGCTCCTCTGATGCTGCCTGGCCTGCTGTGTTCCTCCAGCTCCACACTGTGTTATCTCTGACTCCAGCATTGGTAGTTCTTACTATCTCTGTAATTTAGATACATTTTCTTTACTTGGAGACTTTGGTAGGAATGAATGTGGTACTTCTATTCTTTTGAGATTTTTAATCAGCACCATTTTTAAATTAGAAATAATAAAAATGCCAGTTGAAATAAATACTCTAGCAAATATGCTAATGTACACACAAATATATGTATAAGCCTTGAAATTACACAGTGTGACTTTTATGCTTATTTGTGTGAGTTTGCTTTGTATACTCTTTTAATGGAGATATCAGGCAAACGAAAGCAAATAGATTCCCCATTTCTTGAAAATTTTAAAAAAGAGAAAGCTCAGGGTTAAATCTGGTGAAGGCAGCACCAGCAGGGACCTGCAGTTAGCACAGTAAGAAACAGGATGACAAAAGTTTCTGAAATTTGGAAGACTGCAGGACAGCAGGCTCCTACTGCACATCATACGGAGCAATGCAAAGAATGCTGAGACTGCCATTAGCAGCTGATATCTGGGAGGAATATAACCTCTGGAAAGTGAACAGTAGTGTTTCAGAAATCAATCAACATAATTTAGCCTCTCTACATTCTGTATTAGATGAATGCTTTTTAAAAGCTGAGGTTTAAGTCCATGTGCAGCCCCCACATAATCCTGTACAACTCAATACTGATGCTCTGGCTAGTAAACTGACAGGAGCTTATTGGTGCCAAGGGAACACTTTAATTTATAATTAATAGTACACAATGTATCCCAAGTTTTAAAGCTAGAAGCAGGCATTTCCTTGAGGGCAGAACAGTCTCTGCACTACAATTGGCTTATAGTTCTAATTGATGACATATGTCATTTGCTGTCAACCAGAACTACCATCTGGTTCTCTTGGGCCTGTCTGCCTCGTCTCAGTACTGCCCTGTCTTGCTTAGTATGTTTACCATTAGCTTAGTATTCCTCAGCGTCTCCATCAGACTCTCCTGTGGTCCATCTCCTCCTGTTTTAAGTTTACATCCTATCACTGAGTAAGGTTGTGCTATGTGCAGCAAACAGTCACTATTGTGGAGACCCTGTCTGAAGTGTACTGGAATAGTCTATGTTTTTTTTCCTCCTGAGTGGTTCAGGCAATGGAAGCGCATCTTCAGAGACTAATTGTCTTTTCAATGACAGCCCTAGATGATGCACAGGCTGCTTTGGCATCTGCCTGAGGCTTTCATACTGGAGTCATTTGTCTTGCCTTACAGCAATACATCTTGTCACCCATGAACCACCCTGGAGATGATGCAAGGGGAGAGCAAACATTCAAGGAATTTGGGAGTTGTGCAGAATGTAGGCAACGTGACATCTCCCTGGACAGCAGGCACAGATCTGCAAGAATTGCTGTTTGTGGTCACAAATGAGATGTATATCAAGTGAGTGAAATCCATTCCTGGTTATAAATCTGGCTGGATGATGCCAGGGAGCTCTGAGCACTACACGTGTGTAGTTGATGGCCCATTGTACCTGAGGGAACTCAGTGTTGGCTACCTCGACTCTTCTGGCCTATGGCGAACTGGACAAACTGTGTTGTTTTCTAGTAAAGGGCATTAATAAACTGAAATACATTTGTGAGTTGCCAGGTGGGAAATTGCTCACATGTCCCCATTTGAAAGGAGCCAGTGGTGAGGAAGTTAAATATTGCTGTGAGCTTCAGTTCCACCGGTGTAGCATTTCCTTTCAAGCCGACCTGACTACAGGAGGTGGCACATGTAGATGACAATCTGCCAAGTTAAGCAAAGACATCTCTGATACTTCCTTCATTCACCTGCAGGTAGCTGTAACATCTTCACTGCACAACAGCACTGAAAGCCCAGGTCCCCTCTTCAGGCACTGCTTATTCACCCACATCTGCAGCCTCCTGAGCCTTGTGTCTCTGGTTCTATAGGGACTGGCATTTCTTCTTCTCTTCCATCTTCTTTTTCTGATCCTTAATAAAGTTAATACTTGGTTAAACATGAACAAGAAACAAGAGTAGACCCCTTGGCCCTTTGAGCCTGCTCCACCATTCAATTAGATCATGACTGATCTGATTTTAACCTCAACTCTATTTTCTTTCATATTCCCAATAATCTTTCACCCCTTGATAATTAGTGAAACATTTGGATCAGTGAAGAAGTATCAGAAATGAAATGTTTGCTTTCCATTTGAGATCTGACATAATCAAGCAATCCTTTGGTCCCTTATCAGACTGCCAATGTGTTGAATGAAAGTCACCCCAGCAACCAGCTCAACATTGTGAGGCACATCCTCAAGGACCAATTCCATTTCCTCATTCTGTCATGTGCAAGATCATTGCAGCCTTGATCTCTACACTGCCCTCTATGCATGCAGCAATTCACTCAATCTGACTCTTGGTGGCCTTCATTAGCTCCTCCGATACCAACTCTCAAACCTTGGAATCTACAATCTACGTAACAGTTTTATCCTCATGACATTAAGCTACAGATACACGGGGTCCATGCGCTGCCATGACTTCCAAAACTGGAAGTCAGTTGATCTGTGTGTGTGAAACCTGAGAGGAACTGCCTGTGAATGCTCCTGTACAGTTGCATGTGAAATAACATCCAGACTATCACCACTGGTGATGGCTCTCAGGTACTCTTCTTCTCCGAGTTAAATGAATCACGAGACATGGTTGGGATGTTTGTGTTTGGAACCACAAGGGCTTATTCACCTTTTTTCTGTAGTGGGTGTTTCCTTTCATTGCTCAGGCCTCACCTGGGTTTTGATAGAATAGTATTTCCCAGTTTCTATTTCCATTCCCTCAGTTGTGTTCATATACTGTGCAGGAATACATGCAGAAATATCTCGGGCCATTCCCATTTGTAGTTTAA